TCTAGGTACAAGTGCAATTTCAAGACAAACATCCCTGGTGTTTACTAAATGAATTAAATGAGTGAAATCAGCAAGGAAGAAGTGTGGTTGCAAAAGAGTAGGCCCAAGCACTGAAACCTGAGGTTCTTGAACATCAGGATGCTGAGAAACTAAAAAATTTAACAAGGTAGGATAAACTTAATAATTCATTTTTTTCCTTTGTCAGTCATGGGGTTTGAACTCAGGGCCTGGGCACTGTCCCCGAGCTTTTTTGCCCAAAGCTAGTAGTCTACTACATCGAGCAATGGTTCCTCTTCCAGTGTTTTCTGGTGGTTAATTGGAGATAAGAATCTCATGGACTCTTCTGCCCAGACTGGCTTTGAACCAAGATCCTCAGATCTCAGCCTCCTGAGTAGCTAGGATTACAGGCATGAACCACCAGCACCCAGCTAGAAATGAAATAATTCAGGAAATAATGCTTGAATGAAGAGAGTTGTTCAATCAAAATGAAGAGTGAGGATTGGGCCCTGTATTTAGCAATGAGTTACAATCATGATAGAAGCTGTTTTTCTGCAATGGTGGGACACAAAGCCTGTTTGGATTGAATTCAAGAAAACTGGGAAGAGAGAATGAAGACAATGAATATACTCAACTCCTTTGGTGTATGCTTCAATGGTTTGTTGTTATAGTTGTTTTTCCTCAAATTAAAAAGAGTCAGATGAAGAGGGGAATTCAGTGATTTGAGGACTACTGTTGAGAAATATAACTGAGCAGAGCACAGAGAATGAAATTCAGCATGCTGATGGCAAGGTTGACCTTTGTAGAGTTTTTTGTGCTAGCAGTGTAGGCAGAGCACATGCACGCAGGTACTGGATGGTGGATCTCATCTGGCTGCTCTGTTTTCTCAGTGAAGCCAGGCCAAAGCTGAACTGATGCTGAGGGAGGAGATAACAGAGCATTAGAGAAGAGCGAAGTATTGTGTCTTGATTACATTCACCATTGTAAAGTTTTCTTTAACACAATTTACATGTTTTCAAAGAGATCATATATTGATAAAGTAGGGTTGTAGGTTCTAGAATTTAGCATTCATATAAGAAATAGTGTGAGAAACAGTTCTCATGAAAAGCAACTAGGAGAGAGTACGTGTGTGTGTGTGTGTGTGTGTGTGTGTGTACACGAATATATGTAGAAATAAATATTTGCTGCTGTAGTCTGAAGATTTCTCTGAAGATTAGCAAGGTGTGAAGTTTGTAATTAACCTACGTTAATTCTTCTATAGGCGCCTGTAATTATGTATTAAATGTAGTGTTCTCCCTTTGTATTATAGCCAATGATCTGCTGCCAGCTGGTTTTAATTCACCATCATTTATTAAAATAATTGTTGAATTGCGTACTCTAATCTTTTAAGTATATTCATGTTGTAGACTGAGCTGCCTTTGTTTTCCTAGGCATGTAGTTCTGTGGATTCTAAAGGTATGGAAAAGCATGCATGTGTTAGGCTGTTGATCTTAAAATTGAAGCAACAAATTAAATTACTTATGTACTATAGTTTTTAACTGTGTATTAAAAACATTTATATCATATGAATGAGATAGTTTATCAGAGAAGGTTGATTGTCAGTGTTAAGACCAAAATGAAAAAGCAGTAGCAATTGATGGAGACACAATTTTTGAGTATCTTTTGTTGTTGTTGTTGTTGTTGTTGGTTGTGGGGCTTGAACTCTGGGCCTGGGTGCTGTCCCTCAGCTCTTCAGCTTAGGGCTAGCATTCTACCATTTAAGCCCCAGTGCCACTTCTAGTTTTGTGGTGATTTATTGGATATAAGAGTCTCATGGACCAGAAAGGGAAACAAAGGAGGAGGCAACAATGCTTGATAAGAAATGTACTTATTACCTTGCCCATGTAATGGTAACCTCTTTGTACAGTATTTTCACAATAAAAAACAAACAAACAAACAAACAAAAAGAGTCTCATAGACTTTCTTGCCCAGACTGGCTTTGAACTATGATCCTCAGATCACAGCCTCCTTAGTACGTAGGATTACAGGTGTGAGCCAACTGCACCCGGTTTGACTATATATGTTGAATTCGTCTTTAGCTTATTAAGAAAAGTTTCATACAGACAATGCTATCAATCACTAATGTATACATATAATATTCCATTTTTAATCCCTTATTTGATTTTCCATTTGGACAGTAAACATGGAAATCTTAAAGCACACTATTGAATACATACATCCCTGAACACAGACCTCATTCAGCCTTTCACCATGTGGCTGGCTGATAATACACTTCTCTTACTTACATCACCCTGTTTGGATTATAAAGACAAATTTCCTGCTTACAGTATTCCCACCGAAGGAAAGAGAAAGGTCTACTGATGACATCTTTTGGTTTTATGTCTTGGGCTGGCTCTGTAATTGATGCAAAGGTCTATTTTAACAGCATTCATTATGCACATCCTCAAGTTTGCCCAACTAAGATTATGATGGGCAGATCTATTGCACATCTTATTCTGCTCATGCTTTTAACTAGGACACAGGAAAACAAATTTGTGGTTTCAACTCTCTAACCCAGTAATGATCTGACCTAGAAAGTAAACAATCCTGTGCCTCAGGGTTTTTACATGAAATGTTAGGATAATAGTACCATCCCTGCCTGTTTCAACAGAGTAGCTGAAAGGGCTAAGTATTTTAACAGACAGGAAGAACTCCTATTCGTTTCTCCTGTACTCAGCTCTTCCCTGCAGCGTTTGGGTGGTAATAATTTCTTCTGTATGTTTGCCTCCAACCCTTCTTCTTTCATTTGTAGATATTTTTACATGGTAACAACCTGAACAGTCTACACCAACTAATTCATCCTGAGATTCTACCCTCTGAGTTTGGAGGAATGCTGCCCCCTTATGACATGGGCACATGGGCAAGAACACTGCTGGACCATGAGTATGATGATGACAGCGAATACAACATGGACCCCTACAGCATGCCTGTGAAAGAAGTAGAAAAGGAACTCTCCCCCAAGTCGATGAAGAGGTAGGCTAAGGGCATTCTGGGAAATGGGCTGAAGCTACAATGGGAGACTAACTTCATTTTTTTTTTTTCGTGCATGCACACAGTTTTCTAGTGAGATGTTATACTCTGTTGTGCTGTCATGATTGAATGACTATGCATTTAATGTCAAAGACAAAGTCCACTTATTTTGGTGGTGAGAACATCTCAACTTATTCTCTGTGTCATTTGCAAATATAAAATGTATTAATGTTAATGATAGTCACTATACTCTAAAATATATTGCCAGACTTTGTACACATTATTTGAGATTTCGTACCCTTTAACCCTTGCCTCCCCTCCTCCCTTCCCAACCTCTCCATCTCTGATTAAGCACCATTCTCTCTCTGCTTCTACAAGTTCAGCTCTTTTAGGACAACAGGAAGCATTCTCTCATCATGATGTATATTGTAATTAAATACATGCATGTCTGACTCTTTGTCCACTTTAAAATAGAAAATTTAAACTTTATATTCTCAGAAATCTAATATAATCCTAACAAGACATCATATCCAGAAGCTTTTTAAATATACTCTGAATATCCAAGGCTTTTGAAGAAATACTTCAGACCACACAGTTAAAATGGGGAATGGACTTATTTTTCCTGTAAGAATAAGAGACTTCCTTATAGTTAGTTAATTTATTGTAAGGTGCCTCTGTCAGATTTTCTTTAAAGAAAGGGAACATACAGACAGTTACAGATTGTCACATGCATGCGCACCTAGATTCAAACATTGTCACATGCATGCACACCTAGATTCAAACATTGTCACGTGCATGCACACCTAGATTCAAACATTACATTCAAAGCTTCTGTACTTTTTCAATGTGTCTGCCAAATCTTGGTCTAACAATAATCTGTCTCCTTTCAAGGTTAGCCTTTACAAGTTCATTGTGAAGCTAAAACTCATTTCTCACATTGACAAATACTTGTATTCTTGTTTTCTCTTAGATAGTATGTGGGGAGCTGCAGATCTACAGAGATGCATAACAAAAAGTTGTAACTCTTAGGCCTCCCCATGTTTTATATTATCTTTAGATTGAGAGGCATGAAATTCTTCCCTCATCAAAAGTGCTATATAGTTGTTCCTTTGAGAGCATTGATCTGGACAGACATGGAAGATGAACTTAACCTCCCGTGTAAATCTATGGAGGGAGAACACTGTCATAAGATCTTCTTAACAAGAGTTAAGAAGTTCATTATATTTGTCTTTCTGGACTGGGGAGTGTCTTTTTATATTTTATTTTATTTTTTATTGTGAGAATACTGTACAGAGGAGTTACAATTATATGGGCAAGATAACTATTACATTTCTTATCAAGCATTGTTGCCTCCTCTTTGTTTCCACGTCCCATCCCTTCCCATACTCCTCCTCTCCCCCTACCCGATCCTCCCCCCACCCAATCCTCCCCCCACCCCTCACCAAAGTTGTAAAGTTTGTTTTCGACATAACTACTTGTACATCTCATTGTTGCAATGGGTCCACCGGTATCCCTAGTTAAATGATTTGATTTTTCCCTTCCCCTCCATAAATTATACCAACATCAAATACAGTGAAAGCATGGGTTATACCCTGGGGGAGGAAACATACAAAGCAACATAGAATCATCTTATAAATATGTTAGAAACAATTGCATGAAAGGAAAAAAAAAACAAAAAAACATTTGAATACTTACCTTGGGAAAATGTCTTTAGCCTGATGCCCGCAGGACCTAGAATAGTGCCAGTCATACAACAGTTGTAAATAAGCAATATTACTTGCAGTGTGGGTTTTATTGAACATTTATTGTTACTCTAGACCAAGCTGGATTCTACTGACTTGTACATATTGACTCATCTACTTCTTGTAGCAACTTATAAGGCAGCGCTAACCTTATTTTATTAGTGAGAACAAGAAACTGGGAAAGTAAGCAATCTCCCCATGATGTCGGACCACATGGTAGCAAATTTCAATGCACAGGCAATCATGTCCCATAAGACATTTATTTACCAATATCATTTCCACTTGCTAGAATTTGCGCTGGGATTCACAAATATAAGAGATGTTATCAAATCTGATCTTCACTATACTTGTCCCTATTATACAAGCAAGAAAACCTCATCTACATTAACTTTTCCATGATCACAGAGCTAATAGTCACAGCAACCAGAGCTGAAATCTACCTTTCTGCAAAACTTAATGCTGCAAGTACTTTGACGTAGAACAATTTTGCAGCTACATAATAAACAAATACTGGATAATTAACTTTACATTATTAATTATTATTATTCATTATTGAAAGAAAGTCATCCATTGCAAAGAGAGCAGGGGTTTTACAGTCTCCTGAGATGTAGTAAAAGTTAATGATTAGTCTTTCTAGAATAAGCCAATTCATTAACAGTATGATATTCACAAACCATACTTTTTTCATGAGAGTTAAAACAAATTAAACAAAATAGTTGCACAGTTGACGCAACTAAATAACAAAGAAAATCTTAATCAAAACGGTTTTTGTGAGGCTTTTTTTCTCTTAAGAAATTGTTCTTACAGAACCAGCATTCATCAGCCAACAATTAAGACAGCTGTAATGCATTTTTATATACAAATCAGCAATGTAATCCTAAGTCAAGAAGTATAATATAATTTTGTTAAACCTGTCATATGGTTAACAATATTTTTTAAATCATAGAGCATACAAGCTTACAATAATTTGTGTGTGTATGTGTGTATCTGTACATGTGTTTTAAAAGGATATTATGGAAAATCATTAGTCTCATTTTCTGAATTCCAAATATAAAATATTGAAATACTTTTAGTATGGAAATTACTTATTGATTAGAAATAAAGGCATTGAGGTCTTATGATGTATCATATCTGGTGTCCTGTATTATATTCTTTTTGTCTTTCTCTCTCAACCCACTCTTCTTTTTCCTTTTTCTTTCTTCTCCCTAAAAACATACACTAATAGTCACCTAACAATCTCCTTTCTGAAATTGTAGATACCTAATGCTTATTTAATAGTCAGAAAGAGTAGTGGATATTAGCAAACAAACCTTTTTAAAATTACTTTACCTTCATTTTCCTCTTTTAAAACAAATTCATTTAAATGAGGGAGTCAAGTGACAGTTAATCCTGTAATTTTTCTGATAATTAGTTCCATTGCTATTCTTTTTCATTAGCATGTGCAGTTTTATTTGGCTTATAGTCTTTCTTCTCAAAAGTTAATGAGGTCTGCGAAGAGGCATATTGCCACAGCAAAAGCCAATTGGCTGGAATGGAGCAGCAGGGGAAGAATTCATTACAGAGGAGAATTTTAAAAGGGCAGCTGCTTCCTTAATGCTGTAGCTATTAAGACTGCAACTTCCTGCCTCAACAGAGGCACGTTTCATTGATTTTTCTCCATCCTGCTTTCCTGTTGTTTCCTAATGATGAACAGGAATACCAGCCCCACCTGCTATGAATACATAATAAAGGCCTTTTCAAATTATGTGTTTTCTTACCTGAAGAGTTTCACTTTCAAAATAAAACTCTTCTGTCATCTCTGTAAGCTTCAGAAGGAACAATTTTACTGACATGTTCTACAGGAAAATTGAACAAAAATCTTGTTTTAATGTTCCTTTCTTTTGTTGTTGTAATCATTAAAAATAAATCAAAGTGCTTAAAGAAAATGTTGAAATTGTTTGATGGATTTTTGTTAGCTCAGGAATCAAGTCACTTATCATTTCGATTCCATTTTCATCACAATTGTTTCACTGTAGTCATTTTTGCCATTTGGGGATGTTTTGTTGGAAAATATTGGTCCTTCCCAAGAACTTCTCTTTACCACCAAGAGAAGACTCCTGTTCCATTGTGAAGAGGAGAACATAAGCTTATTATTTTCCATTTAGAATTCTTTCCTGCTCATTCTTGTACTTGGCCAGAGGGAATAATTTCTTCTATGTGATGCCAATCAGCACCATAAGTGTTTCTCTCAATGTGCAGCATCCACAGTTCATAAATTCCTGGAGAGGAAAATCCACACGTCTGGGAGAAGCAATGACAAAGAAAAGACAGAGAAGAGAATGCCATCTGGATAATGAGTTGGTATTAATTTACTGAGTTCAATTTTATTTTTTTCCAGATCACAATCAGTAGTGGATCCCACAATACTAAAACGCATGGATAAAAATGAGGAAGAAAATATGCAGCCTTTGCTATCTCTGGACTAATAACCACTCCACGCCACCCTATGGGTTAGAATGGGAAGTGCTGGTTTTCACAACAGAGATAGCACTATGGAGAAAGGACTATCTGGAATCCTACTTATTGATGTTAATGTAGCATAATGCATAACAAGGCATCAGGCTCTTTCATTTGTCTGAACCATGGGTGCCCTGGGCTTGATTTAACAACAACAACGACAAATAACAAAAAGGTCGATAATTTATTCTGTAAGTGCCAACTTCTTTGTAAATACAATGTAATCTTCATGTCAAGTTTGTACAATTTTGGTAGTTATTTGATTTGGGAAAGATTGCCTCAAAAGTTCAAGCCAGTGATATGGAGTGTGACAAAAAAAAAAAAAGCTGAAAGACAAACTATCAAAGCTAATTAAATGTAGCCCTGTTTCCTATGAAGCCATATTCCTGCTATCATAGTGAATTGTTTCCTTGTTTTTCTCAGAAAATATGTCTGTATTCAAGCATCATTTGAATGGGCCAAGGGAACAAAATTATTCTAGGAAATTACTCTGATAAATGTATTTCTATTTAGCAATTTTCATTTCAGAGATAATGTGCTCTAAGACTGTCACGTTCATAGCATTCTGGAGACAAACAGTGGCAGAGGAGCTGGTGAACTGAACACTTGAACTCTTCCATATCACCTACTTACCTAATCTTACAAAAAGATGTTTCTCCATTTGTGATGTGGAATTATAAAAGAGACTGCATTCTTTCTAATTTGTTGTCTTCACAATGCGCTCTTTATTCATCACTCCCGATGTATTCCTGGCTGATGTACTCTAAGAAAAATGTCCCCAAACTTTTTGGCCAAGAAAATGAGAAATCATTCCATAGTAGTACTTTGGCAGCTCAATTTGAATATAACCACTTACAAAAATAAGGGGTTAATTTCTAATTATTGTGCACTTGTTGAAATGTGGATACATGTTACACATAATATATACATATATATACCACATATATATGTATATTTACTGAATTTTAATAAATCCTGGATGTGATCTGCCTATAAATTAAATCCTAAATGATTTTAGAGATCATTCTGTGAGATGTTAATTTTGGAAACTGACTTTTGCTGAAATTAATGGTGAGAAACAGGGTACCTAGTTTTGGGAATTCCAATATACTGTATAATACAATATTGAGTATATGCCACTTTAGTGACATAGGTTTTATTCTTCAAAGAAAGCAACAGGATACAAAATAGGTATGTATTAAGCAAACAGAGAAAAGACTTTTTTTTCTCAGAATCATGTTACTTATCCTAGTTAATTGTCCTAACCATTCCTGTATATAAACATTTTCTTTGCTAAAACTTTGAAAGCATTGGTTGCATTCAGGAGACATAATTTTTTTTAAAAAAAAATTGAGAGTACTGGAAGTAGAGTATAATAGCTCAAATTTAGACTTGAAATCTCTATATAAAAGCTTTATTTCATAAAGACTATCAAAACATATTTTGAAACTTTATTTTTACTTTCAGTGTGATAAAGCAAGATTTCTTATCACCCTTCAAACATGATGAATTTTGAGACTGATTTTACATTAGAACATGTTGAAAGGAAAAAAACCATATCTTTAAGAACTCTTGGAAACCAACATGGAAACCTTTAAACATTTGTAGCTTTTAGCCAAAAGTTTAAAAGAAAAATACCCATTTATAATTATACAGCCAAAAGTATTCAAATCAAACCAGTATACTAATCTGCTGCATATCATGACTCTAATGTTTGTGAAAGTACAAAAATTACCATGAATCTCAAAGTACTTTTAGAATGGCAACTTACAGTTGAGAACAGGGGAATAATGGCTATCAGGATTCTGATCGGAATGAACTAGGGACCAAAGCTATAGCACTTCTTATCTTTATGGGAATCCTCACCATCAGTATCATTCTGTTTTCTGTGTATCTAGCCTACATTCTGTATCCCTGGGCCTTATAAACATGTGTTGTGCAGTGTGATCCAGTGGAATAAAATAGAAACAATGTAAGCACAGAAAGGCAATCAACTGTTCATTTACACGAATTTCTCATGCTGTGCACCATTTCTAGCCAATTTCCAGAAGTCTACCTGCTTTTGATGCCAGTCAGCATATCCATTTTCATTCTTCTGTTGTAAAGATAGTGTCATCTATATAAATAACTAGTTCATTCATGCTCTTTCTGTACCTCACACTTGGAAATTCTGCATTGGCATTGCTGACTATCTGCTGTTCTTCAAATGAGCAGTTGAGAAATGGCTTAGATTTTGTAAAATATTTAAAAATGAAAGAATGAATTGCAATGACAGTTTTTGAAATTGTTATATCTAGTTCAGTCTGTCAGTAACCTAATTTTCAGCAGGTTTTGAAACTGCTAAGGGTCAAGGAATATTGGTTCAACTTTCTAAATTTTCCACTCAGCACCAGCTAACTGTTTAGGCACATTTTTTTCCTTTATAGTTTTCTAGGTCACACACTTATGACTATAGTTATATAACCTAGTAATTAAGCACCTTTGTATTCTTTTCCTTTAATTGAATAGTATACTACCACTCACTCTCAAACCCACACTGGAATGGAGTGAATTTTTCTCACCACTCTGAGTTATACACTTTACCTTTTCACTTGTCTGTGTCTGTGTGTGTGTGTGTGTGTGTGTGTTTTAGGGATGAAACCCTATGACATAGCAAAGTAATTATACATCGAGTTATACATCTCACTTCCATTTACTTCTTTACCCGTGGCTGCTCCATCTTTTCTCTTTGACTTCTTTCATCAGTTTCAGGACATCTGCTTTTAAAGCATATAACACCACTTCTCACATTGTCAGGGATATTTGCACACAGATTTGAATGCTGTCTAAAAAGGAAGAAAATATAATCTCAAAAATATGAAGTGCCTTTAAAAATAGAACAAGGCAGAGATAATGGCATGCAGTTATTTTTTTATTTTGACTTCTTCAAAAATCCAATATATGCATCTATATTATAAGAGTAAAGCATAAATATCATTTGAAGAAGAATCTTTAAGGTCTTGCTTTGAAGACTTTAGTACAGTATTATCTATTGTGTAAACTGAATATAGTAACTTTAATCCATGCTATTTGAAGCATATCAATATGCTAAAATAATATTCAGGTGTTAAGAGTTTCTCAAGCAACTTTGTAAAGTGGTCATGCATGATTTCCTTTATTTCAATAATTGTATCAGGATAAGCAGAGACAGTCTTAAGTGTTTTCATATAAAATGCTTCTATACTTTACAGTACAAAGATTCACACATTTACAAACTGAAAATCTAAGTAAGTATGTTCTCTTTAATATTGTTAACTAGGTCACCTTGTTAAATTAAACATTAAGGTGTCTGTAATATTTCTGAGGGAACACAAGTCAGTCTACAGCATCAAGAAGATGGAGAGCTGTTTTAGATTTGGGGGAATATAATTAGGACTCTTCACAAAAAGAAAGCTTTAGAACTGTGGCAGTGGGTCTTCAGGCACAGGCTTTATCTCTTCTTTAAGCAACCTGCAGGCCTCTGGACAGTCTGTGATCTTTTAAGAGTTATAACAAGCAAATCTGCAGATGGCCTGCCTATGCACTCTTCTGTTGTTTTATTTAAAGCTCTACCTTGTCTGGTTGGTTGATGATGCCTCTTTGCTTCTTTTTGTGTGTATATTTATTAATGATTATTTGACAAGTTGCTATCAGCCATGGGTACATTCTAGAAAGATTTTCCACACACAAAGAAAAATGGGTAGAATTCTGGCATAATATTTGAACTTTATACTAAGATATTTGTGTGTCTGTCCTAGATACATGTTCCATTTTAAACCTATACAGATACTTAGCCTAAAACATAGTAACACATTTTAAATTTGAGAAGCCATTAAATTCTATATGAATAGGTAGTTTATATATAAGTACACTGGACTAAAAGAAGAATTTGTCCTCTTTTAGTTGAAAACGACTATTGGAATTATGTGCAACTATTTACTATTCCAAAGGTTAGTAAATAGAAATATAAACAAATGTGGCTTTGTAACATTAGGCCATAACCCTAATAGCCTGGAAAATATAATATTTTTCACAAATTCAAGTTTTTATTCCATAAATATCTGAAATCTAACTCCACAGTAAAAATAGTGCTGTGAAATCCTTCATGTGGTAAATATGAGATTGAAAGACCATAGGAAAAGTATAGAATTTGCAATTTTGTGTAAAAAAGCATTCAACTGGGCCTTTTATTCAAAGAATACAAATAATACTCTTGAAATAAAAATATTTGAAACCAATTTATTATAGCTACAACAAATGTACTTTTACAGCAAATGTTGGGAAAATATGAAAACTTTATAAGGTGTTGTGTCAGGATTTTAAGTTTCAAGTCTCAGTTCTAATATTGTCAATATTATAAGTACACTTAGTCTAAAAATATTCTTATGTAAATAAGATCAACTTGGATGAGAATCAAACCAATTTGAACAAAAATTTAAGCATGAATCAACCTCCAACTTCTTTGAAAGTATTGTAGTGAGCTATAATTGGCTTACGTATCACAGATCGATAGCATTGCCTTATTTCGAATTCATTACATCAGGTTTTGTGATTGGTTAAAGAAGAAATAAACTCAAAATCAAATAATTTTTGTGTTCAAAGATATCAAATAAGTCTTCTGAGAAGAATTGTGTGTGTGTGTGTGTGTGTGTGTGTGTATGTGCCAGGCCTGGGGCTAGAACTCAGGGCCTGGACCCTGTCCATGGGCTTTTGTGCTCAAGACTAGGGTTCTACCACTTTATCCACAGCTCTGCTTCCGCTTTTTGGTGTTTTAATTGGAGATGAGAAGCTTACAGGCTTTCTGCCTGGGCTGGCTTCTAATTGTGATCCTCAAACCCCAGTGTCCTGTTGCTAGGATTACAGGCATGAACTAACAGAGTGCAGCTAATTTTTATTTTATTTTAGTTTTTAATTTTATTTTTAAAATTTTATTTTATTGTAAAGGCATACA